TGAGTTAACAAATGTAGTTGCGCAGTGAACACTACAACAAGAAGCAGTAAGCTGCAGTAACAGTGAATTAGCGATCATAATCTTGTGATTCACAAAGGTGCGCTCAAGCGCAGTGCGATTTACATATATTTTTACACCGAAGCCGCTGGAGCTCTTCGGGCAGCGGAGACTGCGGCGAAGGGAGCGACTACGAATAACAAGTGCGTGACTGCGGCGTTGGACCCGCAAACGTGGCTGGCCGTGGAAGCAGACCTGGGGACCGAGGTCCTCATTAGAGGGAGGGTGGTCCACAAGGACAACCTAAGAACTTCATATTGCGATATTTTGACAACGTCAGAGCCGAATGCGATGGAGAAACCCACACACTGCAGAGTTGCACCGCTTCACCTGGAGCCACATTTTGTCGTCTGTCATTAGAGAGTTCAAGTGCCAAAGAGCTCCATGCAGGTGGCACGGCACACTGCGAGATCCAGCCGAGCAACCTGGAAATAATCACCCATGTAGATGACGGAATCATCATCCTCAACGGTGGGTCCGCAAAGATTCAGCTGGACAACGGCACTGAGATCCAGAGTCCCGGGTATTGCCAACTCTCCCTTGCTGAACATCACTGCCAGCCAAGATGTCCTCAGCCTTCCTTACCTTCATCGTTTGAGTGAACGTAATTTGGAGGTGATACAGCAATTCAAGAAAGACGCCGGAACTGATCAAGCTTATCGTGTGGCATTCATCATTGGAGCCATAAGCTGTGCATTAATCTGCGAAGCAGTTACGAGAAGTCGTCGCCGGGATTGGGTCGGCCGAGGACGGCCTTATACTTGAAGGGGGAGTAGTTAACAGAGGTCAGCGACACCAGCTCCACATGCTGATATAGCACTGAGCCGAATGTTCTTACGAGCTAACAGGGGTCAGCAAAATGCAACATAACACCAGCCGCAGATGCTGACATAGCTCTGGGCCGGATGTTCTTGCACGACGGCAGCGCACGAGGCGCAAGCTAAGCATTCTAGCAGCCGTTGTGAAAGCACACAATAGCTTAGGTATTTTTGATCAATCTTTTGTAAATTTAGTTTTTAATGCGGCTTTCACTGAGGCACATCGGCCCAGAGACTTCGCGCGTAAATTAACTCACTCACTACGGCGTATCGGCCTAGTGTTTTATAAATCATTACCCAAATAAAGTTAAATATAGATAATCCGCGAGGACTATTATTTAAATCTTAATTGGCGCCCAACTAGTGGTAGTTACGATTACCCACGCGATTGCAAAGAAAATAATTCTTACAAAGCGAACATTAAGTCGCGGTCACACCGACAGTGCCGTGCAGTGAACATTACAAAAATAAAATAATAAAAATAACAAGCTAATCACTAATAATAATAATAGTGACAGTGAGTTAACAAATGTAGTTGCGCAGTGAACACTACAACAAGAAGCAGTAAGCTGCAGTAACAGTGAATTAGCGATCATAATCTTGTGATTCACAAAGGTGCGCTCAAGCGCAGTGCGATTTACATATATTTTTACACCGAAGCCGCTGGAGCTCTTCGGGCAGCGGAGACTGCGGCGAAGGGAGCGACTACGAATAACAAGTGCGTGACTGCGGCGTTGGACCCGCAAACGTGGCTGGCCGTGGAAGCAGACCTGGGGACCGAGGTCCTCATTAGAGGGAGGGTGGTCCACAAGGACAACCTAAGAACTTCATATTGCGATTTTTTGACAACGTCATAGCTGAATGCGTTGGAGAAACCCACACACTGCAGAGTTGCACCGCTTCACCTGGAGCCACATTTTGTCGTCTGGCATTAGAGAGTTCATGTGCCAAAGAGCTCCATGCAGGTGGCACGACACACTGCGATATCCAGCCGAGCAACCTGGAAATAATCACCCATGTAGATGACGGAATCATCATCCTCAACGGTGGGTCCGCAAAGATTCAGCTGGACAACGGCACTGAGATCCAGAGTCTCGGGTATTGCCAACTCTCCCTTGCTGAACATCACTGCCAGCCAAGATGTCCTCAGCCTCCCTTACCTTCATCGTTTGAGTGAACGTAATTAGGAGGTGATACAGCAATTCAAGAAAGACGCCGGCACTGATCAAGCTTATCGTGTGGCATTCATCATTGGAGCCATAAGCTGTGCATTAATCTGCGAAGCAGTTACGAGAAGTCATCGCCGGGATTGGGTCGGCCGAGGACGGCCTTATACTTGAAGGGGGAGTAGTTAACAGAGGTCAGCGACACCAGCTCCACATGCTGATATAGCACTGAGCCGAATGTTCTTACGAGCTAACAGGGGTCAGCAAAATGCAACATAACACCAGCCGCAGATGCTGACATAGCTCTGGGCCGGATGTTCTTGCACGACGGCAGCGCACGAGGCGCAAGCTAAGCATTCTAGCGGCCGTTGTGAAAGCACACAATAGCTTAGGTATTTTTGATCAATCTTTTGTAAATTCAGTTTTTAATGCGGCTTTCACTGAGGCACATCGGCCCAGAGACTTCGCGCGTAAATTAACTCACTCACTACGGCGTATTGGCCTAGTGTTTTAGAAATTATTACCCAAATAAAGTTAAATATAGATAATCCGCGAGGACTATTATTTAAATCTTAATTGGCGCCCAACTAGTGGTAGTTACGATTACTCACGCGATTGCAAAGAAAATAATTCTTACAAAGCGAAAACTAAGTCGCGGTCACACCGACAGTGCCGTGCAGTGAACATTACAAAAATAAAATAATAAAAATAACAAGCTAATCACTAATAATAATAATAGTGACAGTGAGTTAACAAATGTAGTTGCGCAGTGAACACTACAACAAGAAGCAGTAAGCTGCAGTAACAGTGAATTAGCGATCATAATCTTGTGATTCACAAAGGTGCGCTCAAGCGCAGTGCGATTTACATATATTTTTACACCGAAGCCGCTGGAGCTCTTCGGGCAGCGGAGACTGCGGCGAAGGGAGCGACTACGAATAACAAGTGCGTGACTGCGGCGTTGGACCCGCAAACGTGGCTGGCCGTGGAAGCAGACCTGGGGACCGAGGTCCTCATTAGAGCGAGGGTGGTCCACAAGGACAACCTAAGAACTTCATATTGCGATATTTTGACAACGTCATAGCCGAATGCGATGGAGAAACCCACACACTGCAGAGTTGCACCGCTTCACCTGGAGCCACATTTTGTCGTCTGTCATTAGAGAGTTCAAGTGCCAAAGAGCTCCATGCAGGTGGCACGGCACACTGCGAGATCCAGCCGAGCAACCTGGAAATAATCACCCATGTAGATGACGGAATCATCATCCTCAACGGTGGGTCCGCAAAGATTCAGCTGGACAACGGCACTGAGATCCAGAGTCCCGGGTATTGCCAACTCTCCCTTGCTGAACATCACTGCCAGCCAAGATGTCCTCAGCCTCCCTTACCTTCATCGTTTGAGTGAACATAATTTGGAGGTGATACAGCAATTCAAGAAAGACGCCGGAACTGATCAAGCTTATCGTGTGGCATTCATCATTGGAGCCATAAGCTGTGCATTAATCTGCGAAGCAGTTACGAGAAGTCGTCGCCGGGATTGGGTCGGCCGAGGACGGCCTTATACTTGAAGGGGGAGTAGTTAACAGAGGTCAGCGACACCAGCTCCACATGCTGATATAGCACTGAGCCGAATGTTCTTACGAGCTAACAGGGGTCAGCAAAATGCAACATAACACCAGCCGCAGATGCTGACATAGCTCTGGGCCGGATGTTCTTGCACGACGGCAGCGCACGAGGCGCAAGCTAAGCATTCTAGCAGCCGTTGTGAAAGCACACAATAGCTTAGGTATTTTTGATCAATCTTTTGTAAATTTAGTTTTTAATGCGGCTTTCACTGAGGCACATCGGCCCAGAGACTTCGCGCGTAAATTAACTCACTCACTACGGCGTATCGGCCTAGTGTTTTATAAATCATTACCCAAATAAAGTTAAATATAGATAATCCGCGAGGACTATTATTTAAATCTTAATTTATATATCAATAATACGTGCCAAAAATAGATTTCTTTACCCTTTGCAGGCTACACCGACAATAATACACACACAAATGTTGGAACTTTTTAAATATCAATTTTTGGCAGAAATTGCCTGATTTTTCATTACTTAATTTTAAAAACATTCCTTGGGAGTGACCGAAATCCAAATGTCCAGGTCCCACTGACAGCTAACCAGCGAAAGAAATTAATTGGAGTCCTTAAACTTGTGCCTAGCCAAAAATGCATTTTTCCCAAGTTAATCTAATTTTCACAATTCCTTAACGATGTCCCTACTCGGGTGCCAATGTAATCCAATGCCAATAAGTCAATGGAGGTTTTCACGGAAAAACCCCAAAATCCAAATGCTTACCCAATTTCAGTTATTGCACGTCGCTTAGGGTTTTTTTTAGCACTGACTTATGTCTTTAGTATGAAAACGAAAACTTCTGTAATTTGTAATTTATTGTAGCTGACCACCACCAAAAACGACCACAGGGGAGGCTTGGTCAAATTGTTGCTTAATCAAAGCAACTGACAAGTGCAACTATTGGGAGTGCACTCTGCATATTTCCATGTTTGGCAATAGCTAATAAATAAGAGATACTTATTATAATATTACAATACTAGAAGTTATATGTCAAATTTAGTGACACTAACTCTAAGAAGACCGTGCACTAAGAGGACCTACGTTCAAAATTTCATACATTCGCACGGGTGGGCAGGCAGATGGAAGGGCAGTCAGGCGATCATAGCTAGATCGACTCGGCTAAAGATGCTGATAAAGAATATATTCACGTTATGGGGTCGGAAATATTTCCTACTGCCTGTTTCATGCATTTGCAGGAATATATTAATGACTTTAACCTTTTTTATTCCTTTTTTTTAACGATTTTCAATGAGTTCAAAATGTCTTTCTCTCTTTAGTTTGTAATAAATAGGAATATATATTGTACTCGTTTTTAAGCAGTAATTCTTTATTTTCAGCATGCCGGCAGACCCTTCTGATGAAATACCTGGCCCACAGGTCCCGAAAACAGAACTGGAGGAGCTGCAGATCAAGTCACAAGGCGTTGCTGATGAGGTAAATACTCATGCACAATTGTTTGTTTTTAGCTTTGAATAATTTGTAGTAGTTTTTATATTTTTTAAGCTAGTGAACCTTGATAAAAAGAGCTACCCAATTAAAAATCAAAATCAAAAACTGATTTTATCGATTTAATTCAATGTTTTCAGTATGGATACTTCGATGTGCATCTACTGATTTTTGTAAAAAGATCGAATAATCCTTCTACTATAAGTTCAAGCCGTAACGAAATTGTCAAAACTTTCAAAAAGCAGTAAGAGTGCTCTAGTGGGCAGTGCCCGACTTGGGGATACCTTGAACTAGAGTTGTGTCGTTTAGTTCAAACCAAGTTCGATTGAACGGGTCATTAAAATGAACTACTGAACTTATTCAGTGATTAGTGAACTAAATCGGTCATTTAGTTCACTCGTTCAGCTATTCAGTCGGTCATGAACGATTTAACTCAGCAACTCACTTCTAACCTACTTCTAACAACACTAAATGCAGCTCGGGGTCGTATGTCCCAACATATCTAAAATCAAGTAAAAGGCTCTGGTCGGGAGCTCTCAACTAGGGTATACCCTGAACCCTAGATTCCAACAACAAATCTAGCACGCGCTAGCGCTCGTTTGTGGTAAAAACGATATATATATATATATACATTAAAAAAGAAATATTTCCTTGGCAGGGCTCGAACTCATAACTGACCGAATTATATGCTGCCGCCTATACTCAACAGACACACCAGCCACAAAGAAAAAAATAATAATTTCCTCGATTTGGTTCGAACTCGCAACAAGCCGCTTTACATGCTGCCGCCTCTACTCAAAAGCGGCACCAATAATTGAGTCTTAAGAAAAAAAAAAACGAATTAAAATAGCAGCACAGAAAACAATAAAATCGAAATTGCAACGCTTTTGATAAAATTCAAAGCAGACACACATGAATATTTTGTGTTTACATGTATATAGAAATTCAATAACTTTTGTGTTTCTTAACCGATCTTTTCTTTTTCAAACCTTTTGTGTATTCTCAAAAAGTCAATTGCATTTAACTTGTGGCTTATATTGGTGGGCAGAATAAAATGGTTTATTCACTTGATTTATAGATATGAGGTAGTAGCGGGGAGGTGGTGATAGCTATAAAATGAAAGATACTTGATATATAAATACTATTCTTTATGTCAAGTTTGGTGTCTCTAGCTTTTATTTTTTACCAAAATTGGTCAAAAAACAGGATTTAGATATAGATTTTTATCGATTGCTTGGAAACTGTGCAAGTTATCGAATATCGGAAACAAACTTGATCTGTGCGGGCGGACAGCTTATAGGTTCTGAGATCCTTGCCTTCATACATACGACAGACGGACATGGCTAGATCGACTACATTTGCACAAATACATTATACCCTTGTTATGGTATATTGAACTACCCACCAATTTAAGACACAATTTTAATGATATTCTTTTTCTCAAAAATATTTAAATTTTCAATAGCTCAATAAGAGTAAGATCAGACAAGATCGTAAATTAGTTTTTATTACTACTACAGGAAACGAGCACGTAACCTGAGCTGCTTTTCATGTTGGAATAAGAGTGTTCAGGGTATCCTCTAGTCGGTCGCTCCCAAGTAGAGACTCTTACTTGTTGTTTTATAGCTTTTGGCTATAGAGAGATTGTGCTCTTAGGGAGACTTTTTCAAAATCGGATAATCGAAAACAAACTTGTACTGCGAGCACTAGGAGGAAAATGGTTTCAAGCCTCTCTTAATAAGATTGGCGCTTTCATACATAGGAACAGACGAGCAGACGTGCATGGCTAGTTCGGCTCAGCTAGTGATGCTAATATAGAATATATGTATATGCCTAATGGGGTCGGAGCTGCTTCCTTCTGCCTATCATTTGCCCAAGACCATTATACCATTATATTATGAACAGACTCAGGGTATAAAAAAAATATTATGCGGCTATGCCAAATATTATATTAATAATGTAATTTAATATAATTTATATATTACTTCATTTGATTTTTGTTATGTTAAATTGCCGATCGGCGCATCAATAAAATAGGCGGTAACAAATTATAAGTCGCTAACCAGCTCATAGCGATCAAATGCGACGATGCGTTTTGCAATGCGTCATGCCACCAGAATGTAGAGCCTGAACGCACGAGCCGTTAGCTGCTTGTCTGCAGATGGTTGTAGTCGCTGTAGTCGTACAATCCGTCAGGGCCAATACTTGGTCCTTGCATTCCGCCACAATGTTGTCTGGGAGGTGCAGTGTGGAGCCGTTGTGGGCTACCGGGTATATTGTGACTTTGTTAAACATAATCTTAATTCTAGCATCTTAAAGCTAGATATACTTAACAAGCTAGTGACAGTTGTATCTGTGAGTTGGTCGGCGAAGATTAATTCTAGGTCAGCATGGTCAAGTATGGTGGGGTTAACGATTTTTAACTTCGAAAGGGTGATTGTAATTATTTAGTTGCTTATTTTGGTGGAAAGCATTCAGTTTTTGGTTAACTAAGTCTTATACAGGTGACGCGTGTCGACCTGCTCTTTTTTAGCCGTCTTTAACAAACAGTTAACAGTTGTGTTTGAGTTTGCGTGTTTATTCTTACCTTACCTTATTGTTATTTGATTCGATTAACTGTGACTCTGTCATTCTTAAACTCTGTTACTCGTTCGCGTCAGGGGTGCCGACGATCACCTTTAAGACTGTGCCCAAGAAGTTCAAACTGCTCGCCATCCTATGGTGCACATTAATAGCGGATTACAAGTCTCGTACGTGTCCAGTGTCTACTTCTAACAATTTTAGCATGTCCTCGCATGTCTCGTTAGTCATTAGTCTGTATTTGGGGAGGTAGGCTATCTGTTTTAAGTAATTACGTGCATCCCACACATATAAAATCAGCTTCAATCATTTCTTCTGAACATAAGTTTCATAGCCTTCTGTTGGATTTTACTAGTACCTATTCCCCTACCTCATAAACCTTTTACTGTCAGGCCCGGTTAACCATTTTGTTTTATGGTTTTTTACCCCTTTGGATTTTAATACCTACTCCTTGGTACATACTACCACCGGTTTTCTATTTGTGACGGAGTGCACCTCCGCCGTAGCCTGGAGGATAAGGTCGGTCGCTTACTCGACACCCCTCTGAAGCTTGAGAAGGGCGGTCATTGGCGATGCTGACCCCAAAATTATTTAAAAGTAAAGCCCTGACGGTCTCGGACTTAATTGCGGACTCATTGTCACTGGACACCTGCTTAGCATACTGAAAGAAGTTTATTAGTACCATGAGTGACCTCTTCACGTCCTCAATGGCACGCGAAGCTATGGGTTCCGTTATCGCAAACTTAGAGAGTTTTTCAACGCATGTCAAGAAAATTTTCTTGAAAAAACGACAATATGTAACATTTTTGCCAAGCTCTTGCTTTTTTGGGTGACTGTCAAATTTGCTTGTGAGCAAATTTTGCAGTTTAGTTCGTTAAACTTCACTCAGCTGGATGAGCATTTGTTTGCGACCTTACTTACTTATAGACCCGTTTTTTTCATTTTAAGATGCTCGAGAGGGGCTTTGCTGAAGCCGCAAAGTCCTTTATGAAATATCTGTAGAAGCTGGCTAGACCCAAATATGGCCTCACCTAGAAACGAGTTTTTAGCTCGACGTGCTGCTGAGTGGCCCTAACCTTTTCAGGGTCTGTCAAAAGCTAGGCATAGGGTATTTGTCAGCCACCGTTTTCTGATAGAGCTTTCTAATATCTATTACCAAGCGCTTCTTTTTATTGCCCGCGTCATCGACTCCCTTCTTGTCAACGAACCATATCAGTTTGTTGTAGGGCGAGCGTGACTTGCTGATTATGCCGTCCTTGAGCAGGTTGTCTATCTCGGATGCGACAAAATCTGTCACACCCATGGGATATGGGTAGAATTTTGAATATATGGCCTCATTGTCTGTCGTTCGAATTGTAGCGACGACAGAAGTATTGTATGGCAGCAATTCGTTAGAATAGGCGAAAGCCTTTTTGTTATCTTATTACCTTTTTAAGAAGCTTATTAATGTCGTATTCTGGCTCGCCTTCAGCCTCGAGTTAGCTTCCTTTGGTCGACCATGCGGTCTGAGGTGTTCGACCTTCTACGTTAAGCTTACCCGATCCGGAACGCTTTTGGTAATAGGTCTCAGGCTGGCCGTTGTTACTGTGATTAGCCTGTGGCAGATTGGACAGTCATTGAACCCCTGCTTAAAGGCCGGACTTTTCCCTTGACCTTTTGCTGCTGGTATTGGGGCTGCTCATCAGGCTTGATTGCTTTTTCTTCCAGAGCCCTAGCGAACTTAGCAGCGAAGTCATACCTGTTGTATGCCTATTCCTGAGCCTTCTCCAATTCTGAAGGTAAATCAAGTGGCTGAGTCTGTCAGGTTGTGTTTTAGACCAGTTATGAATACCCGTAGTGCATCTTTACTGAATATCTGGCAAAGGCCACTCGCCATTGCCCTGTCGTAAGACATGTTTGCCTTATTTGTCGGCAAGGTCAACTTCTCTTCTACCTCGTCGCAGTATTGTAGGATGGTTAAATTACCCTGCCTGAGCGTACACATCTCTTTTTCTATGACGTGGATACATACATTGTATGTAAAATCAAGGCAGGAAATAATGGCCTCAAATTTTAAGACTGTATTCAATTAGGCCAGCACTGCGTCGGCTGGGCCCCTGATTTTGCTTCTAATTATAATGACGGCTTGGTAGTGACATGAGCTGCCGTTTTATCTTTCAAAAATGTTGTACGCGGCGTGCGCTTGGCGGCAGAAATCGCCTTGTCTAAGATTCCGCGTAACTGTAGCGGGTCCATGTGTTTGTTTTCGCGTGGTCCACTTTTGAAGTTTTGTAAGGGTACTTGTAAACTTTCGTCGCTTTCGTCCCCGTTAAGGCTCATAGATAAAACCTGAACAAATAAACAAACATTGAAACTTTTTTTATACTGGCAGAGGAACCCTGGCTGTCCGGAAAAACGGTAATGCCTTC